TCCCCTATATATATATATATATATATATATATATATATATATATATATATATATATATATATATATATATATATATATATATATATATATATATATATATATATATATATATATATATATTTTTTTTTTTTTTTTTTTTTTTTTTTTGGAGGGGGTGGGGGTGTCACTGTAAGATTAAAATTTCTTAATGCAATAGTTTGCACAAACAACAAACTACTTTGCTGCAAACCACAAAACGCGCAAAACCATCATTTAAATAGGGCGTCTCCAACAGTTTTGCACCTGCCACCAGTTACGCAATCGCTCTTGTTAAATCACCCGCAAACCATGGTTCAGCCCCTCGCGCAAAATTCCAGTTTGCGAGCGCAAATTACTGCACGCAAAATTGGATCTTGATAAATCCGGCCCAATGACTAATTTTTTATGTTGAGACTGGACCTAATCTTATATTCCTAAACCAATTTCACTATAAAAAGACAGTTTACAAAAAGATTTTTTAGTAAGTTTATTAAAAACCATGCATTATAAATTTTAAAACTTACTTTTCCTTATTTAGGCGTGTTGCTCATGAGAGAGCTTGTTTCATATGAAGGTGATTTTGAATCAAAACTATTTATGCATTGTAACTGTGAATATGAAGTCTCAGAGAAATCATATAGAAGTTTAATAGTTCTAGATATTTCTCCCTTTCACAATTACTAAAAGTAACATCTCTTCTTGACCTCATTTAAGTAAGATTAAGAGTGCTAGGACTTTTTGACAGATGTGTTCTTGTTCTTGTGTACAACAATCAATGCATAGGAGGCACCAACATGTCTGGAGTGGTTTATGTAGTGTGCAGTTTTTGACATTTCACTAAAATCTAAAAAGATTTAAATTTTTTCGTTTTGGTTTGACTTGCATTTGGATCATTTCATGCTGCCTAAAGGCACTAATGAGTTAAAAATCCCCAGTAGGAGATTAAAATGTATAAAAACCTGGTCATGATCAACCTGGTTATAAAGGTTAGGAGGGGTTCTTTTAGATAAACAGTAACTTTCAATCATCGAAGAAGCTCATTTCTGAGCCCTTAAATAGTTATTGGGGAAAATGCATCATTCATCAATCAAATGGAACCAATAATGAAAAAAGAAAAAAAAAAAGAAACAACTTTTTATTTGCTTAATAACATTTCCTTTTCCATTTCCTTTTTTAATTTATTAACTTCCCATACTAAATTAATATGGGCAACATGGATAACAAGGGCATTTTTAAAAATTTCTTTCAAAAACTTGCTCGCAGCTGTTCAGCAGGTGGCTTCCACTTCAACAGTTTCACTTCTTGAAGCTGTCATAAATGGCACAGATGGACCCAGTATTCAAGGTGAGACAGCCAGTAGGAAAGTTTAAAATGTTTATTAATACATAAACAAAACAGAACAAAAATGAGCTTCTGAAGATCTGCGGACTTGTAGCGACTGCAGGAGGGGGGCCGCCCAAACACTGACACTCTGGTTTAACAGTTCAGTCCATCCTCTCAATGATAGGCAGGATCAGCTGATGTACTGCCAACAAGATCCCTGATGCAACAACCCCAGTGAAGAGGCAGGACTCCGATCCAGGACAGGGATTCAGATCAGACTGGAGTAGCAGTGGAATCAAGGAATCTGTCCGGTCAGGGGTTCCGATTCCACTCAGGAACAGACAGATCCGGGTTCCGAGAATCCATCAGCGCGTGAAGGCAGGTTCAGAGTCGCATGCGTCAAGCATCCAACTCAGACAGAAACGCACCTGGGAGGCAGAATCCAGGAGGAGTCCAAATGTAGTTCAGACGAACAGATCAGACAGGGACAGAGAGGGCCAGGAAAACAGAACCCATAGGGAAACACTGAAACACTCTCCCTATTGGTTAGGGAAATACCTCACCTGAAGACAAGGGCTCAAGAGTAATCTCCTACTGGAACCGGGGACAGAACCCTTGGAAATAAATCTAACCAAACAAAACTGACATACAGGACACAAAAAGAAACTCAAACAATGATCTGGCCTTGATAGCTGGGCTGGACCAAATATAAGTCATCACCTACAGGTGGATAAAGATCAGAGATAATTAGGAACTGGGCAAAACTAGGCAGGTGAGTGAGATAATCAATTAAAAAAAGCTATCAGAGCAGATCATGACAAAAGCAGCTTCCAAAACATGTCTTGTCACCATCTACCGGATTCACCCAATCAGCAGCAAATAAGGACAAGAAAGAAAAACATGGTGGACGAGCGACAGCTTCTATTGTTAAGGGTTTGCAAACATAAACATTTAGAGGCATCTTACGATTTGGGCCATAAATATACACGGAGTATAAAACCTGCTGACATTGAGCCCCTGCATCTTATTTGCCTACGTCAGGGGTGTCAAACTGGTTCCAGAAAGGGCCGTGTGGCTGCAGGTTTTCTTTCCAACCAAGCAATAGCACACCAGACTCCTGTCAACTCATCAAGTGAGTCCAATCAGAACATGATGACTTGATGAGACGTGCTTCCAGCATAACTGATTCTTTACATTTCAGCCCAAAGTTATTAAAACCATTGGAAGTTGGACACCCTACGAATGGACACCCAAAGATGAATAGAAAATAGTTTTTTAATGAGCTTATTTTTTTTGTCTTCCTAATTCAATTTTTTATCTAGCATGCAGTAGCTGTTACTGTCATCTAAATTTCTATCCTTTATTTTTCTTATTTACCAATATTTATCCTAAAGTTGTTATAATTGTTACTCTTTTCTGGGAAAGAAAACAAAACAATTATTTTAAACAGAAGAATCCTAAAGGTTGTTTTTTTTTCCCTCTCAGAGGTTTACTTTACACAGTTATAAAGTGCATGAAAAATGGAAGAATATTTTCTTTAAAATTTTGTTTTTTATGTTGTGCAGTGATTCTGTGGAGATATGATAAAACAAAAAGCATGTTTTTTTATCTTTGTTTCCAGCTACAAACACTGAGAAAATATTTTTATATTTTTAATATCTAACTCTTATTAGATTTTCATCTAAGGATGACAGTTAAGTTTTTGCTAAACTGGTTAACTTAAACAGTTTTTCCTTGTTTAAGATGACCTTCAGTTCTTTTTCAAAACAAAAAGAGTTCAGAGCATGAGAGGGAGCGATAGAGGAAGGGACAGGGACCCTGTCCTTGCTCCTATCGCTATGGGATCAGTGACCTGGTCTGACCACTTCCACAGCCAGCACCTCAACCTTATCCATCACCACTAGATAGTTATCACACCAGGGATATAGGGGCCTGATCTAAAGGGGAGAGGGCAAATGAAAGAAAACAGGGACTTCCTGCCCTGAGAACAAACTACCGTATTTTCACGACCATAAGGCGCACCGTACTAAAAGGCGCAGTCTCAGTTATGTGTCCCATTTCTGTATTTAACACACACATAAGGCGCACCGGACTATAGGGCGCGTTTTTTATATACAGGTACATGTCCTCTACTACCTTTAAATACCTCTACTGCGTATTTAAAAATACAGCGGGCCCAAAACTGAGTATGACTGTGCTTTATTTATGTATTTATTACAAAGTATTAATCAAACCTGCGAGCTGGCCATGAGACAGACACATCGCAGATGACACAGCGCTGTGATTACTCCTAAATTAACTTAAAATCCTGAAACCTGCCGACGGAATATGTTCGCTTTTATTGCCGGTATCCTGGTGCCTGCACTGTAAATTATTTAGATGAAAAACACCTGCCAGCCACCGCGGTGAAGAGGAGGAGACCCGCCCAGAGGCTGCTGTTGAATTAAGTTTTCAGGTAGAAAAATAGAGCGGGAGCAAAACTGAGTATGTTTGTGCTTTATTCATGTATTTATTACAAAGTATTAATCAAACCCATCAAAGTCATCATCCTCTGTTTCTGAATTAAACAGCTGCGCTAAATCAGACATGCCAGTTTCCCATTCTTCGCTGTCAGTCACTTTCCGTGCAGCGCGGCTCCTCAGAAATAATGCCGGCTTTTGCGAAAGCTTGAACAACAGTGCCAGCAGATACGTTAGTCCAAGCATCTACAATCCATCCGCAAACTGTGGCGTAATCTGCCCGGCGCTGCCTTCTTATCCTGAAACTGTGGTCTCCGTCGGTCATCCATCGCTCCCACGCCGCTCGCAGCCTTACTTTGAACGGCCGCTTCACACCGATGTTGAGCGGTTGAAGTTCCTTTGTCAGACCCCCCGGGATAACGATGAGCACAGCGTTCATTTGATTCACCTTTTTTTCACATCAGCTGTGAGATGGGCACGCAGCGATGGTGATGCGTGGAAAAAAGCACCTGGTCTCCTCACATACACCTGCCTTTCATCATCTTCTCATCCATCCAGCCTTTTTCATTTGTGTTAATATCATATGTCCTCAGGGCGCTGTGTCTGTCTCGCTGTCAGCTCCCAGATCAGCTTCTCTGATTGGTTGATGCGGCGCGTCCAGCAGCAAAACTTCAATTTTTCCATCTCGAGCAGCAGCGGCGCGTTGGCGGTGCGTCAGATGCTTAAACGCTCCCGACGTGCTGCACCTGCAGCTCAAAACGCGCTGCGGGACCTTTTGCTGCGCCTATACGCGCGTCAACCATTGACTTTGCATGTAAACTCGCTGCTTCTGCTGCACCTGCTGGGTCCGGTTCACACCGATGTCGAGCGGTTGAACAGCGAGCACAGCCTTAATTTGTTCCCCCATGTTTTTCACATCAGCTGTGAGACGGGCACGCATGGAGTTACATATTAACAGCGATGGTGATGAGTGGAAAAAAAAACACCTGGTCTCCTTACATTCAGCCACTCTTTCATCATCTCCTCAATGAGGTGGTCTCAAAAGTCGCAGTTACAACACACATAAGGCGCACCGCACCATAGGGCGCACCGCACATTTTGAGGGGAAAAAAAGACGTTTAAGTGCGCCTTATAGTCGTGAAAATACGGTAATATAAACAAACAAAGCACAAACACCTTAACTCTCACAATGTATCTTAATGTTATGATCCTTTAATGGCAAAACTAATCGTAACACAAAATCTTCAAAATGTTTCTGGAATTGTGTCCTTACTAATGTTCCAAGTGCTGTTAATAAAATTAAACAAATATTGGCCTTAGTTCAGCTTTTGTGTTAAACATCATGTAACATGAGAACATTGGAGGAGCTTTATTTTAAAAACTTGGAGCAACAAATTGACATTTTTGCACATGTAGATACTGATTCTTTAACAGCTTTTGCTAATGACGCTCCTATTTTCTTGACATACATGCACTTTTGTTCTTTGCCTTGTGTGTCTTTTTGGCAATTACAGGTAGACTGGTCCCAGGTTCTGGTGGAGTTGTTCCTTTGTTTTGTAGCGAACCAGAGAAACTAAGTCTCACTGATTCACAAACACTCCCGGGAGTTTTGTCTTTGTGAGGCTGGCTGGTACAGGGATGATACTTAAGTTGCCTCAAAAGAAGTTCCATCTCGGGCTGAGAGTGAAACACCCCAGGAATCTAAAAGAAGAAAAAAACAGAAACAGAAGTTAGCAACTAGAGAGAACCCTTAGATAAAAGGTCTATGAATTTACAATTTGTACTAGAAACAGTGGTACTTATTAAATTTTAGGTAACAACTGCAACTATGTTAATGTAGGAATTTTAAACTTTAGGTAAGCCTTAGGTTTGAGAATCTCTTATTTCAATTCATTAAGTCAGACAAGTTAACATTTTAAAATATTTCAACAACGCAATTAGAAAGTTTTATGCTAAATTAAGAGCAAAATTTTGTAAAAAAGCCAAAAAGTTCTTCAATAATAAATTTGCAGGAATTCTTTTTTGTGGTGCCCGTTTGGGTTATAGAAGTTAAAATAAAAATCTGTCATCACAAAGCTCTCTCCATGGATGATGGTATCAGAATTAGACGAAGATGTTGTATGTTAATCATCTGTTTTGCATGCTATATTTCCAGTCCTTATGCACAATAATTTCCAAAGGTCATAGTTTGTTCTCCTTTTTCCCCTACTGGTCATTTCATGTTTACCTTGAATTGTAATGTACTTTTTTAGAATCTTTCTGCAAAGTTTCAAGCTCACAGACTGTCCTAAAAAAGTCCTGCAGTAGGGACACAAACATCTAAAGCTGAAGAGGACTCTACTTCAATTTAATCTTCATTAAGAAAACTTTTATCCATCCTTCTATTCATCCACCCGTACGTGAAACCCCAATGGTTGTTAGACAAATATAAAAAAAAAATCACAATGTACAAACTCCAGCATTGTTATAGAAGCACTAGGATATCTGTTGTACTGAGCATGCATTTTAAAACAAACAAAAACTTTGTCTTATTGCTTCCAAATTGAAAGAGATAAATCACTGACAGTCTCAGTAATAATTATTCAAATCACAGTGGTCCTTTTGCCAGTCTCTTAATTAAGAGACCAAAGCTTCAAGTCAGAGGACTCTGTATCTACTCTATATGCTAATAACACTTTCCTATTTAAGCCACTGAGACTGAGACAACAGAGAGGGAAGGGAAGGAAGTCTAAAGTAAGAAACGGTTGTATCAAGTAAAACCTAATTCTTTATTTTACTGCATTAACAAACTAGTTATTTAGACAATAGCTTACTGCTAGATAACATTTTTAAAACTGAATGTTAGATTTAAAAAAACAAATCATTCTACGGATTTTATTAATAAAAAGAAATTAGTTAGTTTAAAAGAAGTCTATTCTTACCTCTAAGATATAAAAATTCAAGAATTCAATAAATAATTAAATAATTAATCAAATAATCAAAGTAATAGTTTAATTAATTCTGTATTTGGATGGCCCACATAAAAAAAAAATATCCCTTAGATATGTAGAAATCAGCAATGGCAGCAACGTTCAAGGATCTACAACCTGGAATAAAGAGACATTTGTTCCATTTATCATTCTATTTGTTATCTGTAACTACTTGGAGATGGTACCTATCTCTAGCATTCATGACTGAGAGATGGGATACACCCTGGACAGGTCACTAGTACATCACAGGGCGACACAGGACAAAAGAAAAATGCATACACACACGCTGTGTCACTCTATCCTTGTGGGGACCTTCCATTTACTTCAATTCCCTTCCCACTCATTTCTATGGCCTAACTCTGACCCCTACCCTAAACCTAACCATTACCAATTCATAGCTTAACCTAACCTAAAATCTATTCATGACATAGCCCCACACCTAACCCAGCTGCAAAAAGAGAACCGTTCCTCACTAAAAATAATTTTTTTCCTTCTATGTGTACAGCTAGTTTTGCAAGGACAGAACTTTTTATTTATTTAAACAAATACAAAGTAGCAGATTGTAATCTGGATCATTAGCACCAAAGAATTTTTGATTTCAAGCACTGTTTCCATACCTGCAATCTCAATTGGAGAGCAGGATAATAGCACCTACTTATATTAGCACAGAAACAAATGTGTGTTCTTTAAAGTTTGTACACAAAGGCATTGCCGTCCTCATAGAAATACACAAGCCCACACACAAAAATCCAAAAGTACCAAGCCAGCTATGAGAAGAACAATGATGTTGACCCCTGGAACACTGCATCTCTGTCTTTGTCAGAGGGACTTAGAGCCTTTTGGTAAGCCGTGTCTGAGCAACTGTATCTATATGAGTGTGTGAGGGTTCATGTGTGTGTGGGCTAGGGTACGAGGAGTGAGGAAGGATGAACTGTGGTGAAGAGCCATCTATTCACGGCTGACAAGGTCAGAGCTACTATGGGAAAGATAGCCCTGCCATATGCAGAGGTGCAGGGAGGGAGACAAAAATATATAGTTAGTTAGAAAGACAGAACGCTGGGTACACTTTAACTAAGCATTTGTTTCCATCTTATTTACAAAATAAAATGTTTATGTGAGAAAAAATTAAAACTTGCATTGAGTGATTAAACTTAGAAAAATCCTGTCTTTGATAATCTGCTTTTTGAAAACAATTGGATGATGACAGATGTAGGGAGAGTTAAGACAGGAAAAGTGAGAGGATTCTTGGTGCTGAATCAACAGTGACCAGTGTGCTTTGTCTTCATTATGATCCCAGTGGGGAGTCACAGAGTTTTGTGGGAGCGACACACACGCTCAGTCACACACACTCACACTTATGCACCTGTACCAAGGGAAGAAGAACTAAAATACTCCCCTCAGCACATCAGAAGAGCCATTAGAACTTACATGCATCCAAATTTTAATAAAAAAAGCCCACTTCTACTGGAAAAACAAAATCAGGAACAATGTGTTGTTTTGTTTGTTTTTCGATGTCCCACCTCTATAGACCCACCCTATCATAAGTAGGCTACTAATCTAAATGTCTGTTAGCTCAAAACATGTAAAAAGGATGCTTAATGCTTAATTTTCAGGGAAAAACACAGTCACATAACATGGAGTGGTATATACAAATGATCAACTTGTTAGTTTAAAGAAATAAGTGGTTAAAAGTTGGCTTATCTATAAAGTTTTGTTCTCAAAATCACTCAGAAATTAGGGGATGCTGAATATGCATAAGGTTCAAATATTCAATTTTTTTTAACAACCTAAATGTTTTTATTGTGGGTACCAGATTGGCAATCCTTACATAAATAAAGCTGAAATATATTAGTCAGCCCTGATATATGTATATTTGTGAAAGATACATAGCAGATACTGTGGGCTCCACCACTGTACATGTATTAAGATACTAAAACAAATAAGGATTAGCTGTTGTGCAAATGTTTTGGGAATAAAGACAGATTAATGAAAAATAAATAAAAACATCTATGATCAAAGGGATAAATACACAGGTAAATCAAAAGAAAATGGTATTAAAAAGAAACACAAAAACATTCTTAAATGCTTCTTGGGGAAAACAAATTATTAATCAAATAATCATAAAGAAAGCACAATACAGTATGCATCCTTAGTAAATCAAGGATCTGATCAATGCAACTTCATTACAATATGGAAAAAGATATATTTGAAAGTTTGTGTTACCAAATACTAACCTGGCTTGTGCCCATGAGATGGTGCAATTTATGAGCTTGGTAGAGTTTGGTTGTCTGCTCTTTAACAGCCTTTAGATGTTCTCTCTCTTTTTTCTGGGCCTCCTCGATCTCATCCAGCTCTTTTCAACATAAAGTAAAATAAATCCAAATATATTTCAAAAGAGGTCTATCATTTTTCTCATTGAATCAGTTGGTTTTCAAAGAACAAAACACTACAAATCTAAGTAGAATACAAAAACAAGTAAAAAGAACTAAACAAGAACAGAAATGTACAAATAGCAATGTACCAAACTCCACTAAGTAAAACTCAAAATTCATACTAATTTCTACAAAAGGAAAAAAAACAGACTTTTTAAATACTAAAAATGTCCCAACAGTTTAGGTCTTTAATACTTTTTGCACCAAGTCAGGACATTAAAAGAGTTTCAGGCAATTCATAGACAATTAAATGGCGTTTGTGCAGGTGTTAAATGTATTTTAAGCACAGCCTGAAAATTCCCTGAAGTGTCCTTCAGAGTAATAAAAAATGTCTAATCACACAGGGACTGATATGCAAAGGCAATGGAGCAATGGCAGAAAAACAAGGAAATGAGACTCCACGGAGGGAAAAAAGCAAACCGAAAGCATGAGAGGCTATAAGTGGGAGGATGATGGATATATTTCATCACAGCAGCTAGGACAGGTCTGTCTGTGACATCTGTTCCACAAAGCTGGCTAAATGGAATGCATTAAAACCCCATACACAGTTATTTGATTCCCCAATCACACAGCCTTATTGTTACAAAAGGGTAATAACTTAAAAGAGGAATTGGAAACAATTACTAAAACACTTACGATATGATAATTTGAAGAGACGCCCACAAAGCTTAAAGTGAAACCAATCTATTTCCGCATGCGTAATACCAATAAGAGTTTAGCCAGAGCTCATCAACAATCCTGCATCTTTTTTTTTCTGATCTGTGTGTGCTTCTGTTTGTGCATCAGAGTGAGGATTATTTTTTGGTTTTCACCATCAAAGTGAGGACAATTTTTAGGATTTTGCTGGTCATCACTGTCTTTATTGCTAACGGTTAGGTTTAAGACTAAGGTGTAAATTGAGTTCAGGTTAAGATTAGAGTTAAGTATGGCCTGGTAATTATTAAATTTAGGGTTATTGTCGGAGTAAGGGCATAGAAGGGATGAAAATGACTGAAAGTCAACACACAGTCCTCATTAAGTATAGCAAGACGAGAATGTGTGTATGGCTTAGACTAAATAAAAATTAAAGGGTGAGAAAAAAATATGACAGCTCACTTTGTAACATCTCTGACAAATATACACCAACATTAAACAACTTATATCAACTGCAAACTGAAAATACTAAATTTAGCTGACTCAAATAGGTCAAATATTCAAATCCAAAGTAATTTAAAAGATAATGAAGACACCTGTCCACCTGAGTTCTTTGTCAGAGACAGAGTTCGGAAGCAAAAAATTTAATTTGCCAGAAAGTAAGCTGTTATCAGCTTGGGCATAGAGGAAGAACCTCTCAGTGTCTGTTGGGGACTAAGTACCATGTTATTAGATCTCTTGAGCTTTGTAAACTCTAGAGTGTGGTCTCAGTGGATTGAGTTTATTTACCCAAAATGTCAGATGGGTATCTGGGGGAATCTAGTCTGAGTGAACAGTTAAGGCCCTGTCTGCACCAGACTACATATTTAGGGATAAAGGATATTTTCTGCTTGCACCACGAGATAAATATTTTTTTAAAGCCTTTTTTAAGCAGGTATTCTCAAAACTTTGGCCATGTGCAATTATTTTAGGCAAACCTTATCTCTTATATTACTCTTCAGCTAATATTGAAGCTTTTTCAGACTGAAATCCACCTAACCATATAGACCAAGTTTATATTAGAGAGAGTGAAGCACCAGGGGACAGCAGGCCACATCTTTGGTCATCCAGCCAAAGATGAGAGCAGCTAATAGGCCAGGTTTTAAATATGTATTAGAGCCCTGACCTGATTGGCTGATTTAATTGATCAAATTGAATGATTCAACAGTCTGCAAAGAGTCTATACCAGGGGTGTCAAACCGGTTCCAGAAAGGGCCGTGTGGCTGCAGGTTTTCTTTCCTACCAAGCTATGGCACACCAGACTCCATTCATCTCATCAAGTATGTCCAATCTGAACATGATGACTTGATGAGATGACTGGAGTCTGGTGTGCTATTGTTTGGTTGGAAAGAAAACCTGCAGCCACACGGCCCTTTCTGGAACCGGTTTGACACCCCTGCTCTATACTGTGAGTCAATATAGACTGTGACATTAAATGCATTGAGTTCTCTGCAGCTTAAAACACAATATTTCTGTTTAACCAATTAAAGTGACAGATTCACTAGTTCATCAAATGAATAAAATTAACAGGGTTTTACAAAAGGAAACCATGGCTAAAATTAATGTGTCAATCATTGATGCTAAAACAAAAGGCGAACATAGTCAAAGCATCTCACTTCTTTCGTTTATCAGTCCAATATTACATTCACATACAAATTGCATTCACATACAGACACATAGAAAAAAAAATATACTACAATCAGACTGAAGGAGAGAAGTTGACTGTACCCAGAATGGATCAGACACAAAGGCCAGCAAAAGAAATACTGATGCATAGCCGTGGAGACTGATCGCAGGGCAGGCCTGCTCTATCTCCACCCTAGCAGCTCCCCTTTCATGAATGTCCTTGGGAGGGACACAATAGAAATAGGAATGAAGAAAAACTGAGTAAAGACAGACATGAAGAAGAAAGCATGGAGAGAAAAGGGGGGAATACGGCTTACAAAAAAAAAAAGAAATAGTGCACCTCAGCCCGGTGGCAATCTAGAATTTCTCCCCAATTCTCAAATTTGGAACTTTTAACTTGTAAAGTTTCTTTACAGTGTTGTAGCACCAAATGGAGAATAATTTATCTGATTATGGCAGAAATAATTACCCAGCTGTTTATTGAAGGTAGAGGAATAATTCATGTAGTCAACAGGCCATGTGAGTGGTAACATGCTAGTGGATTAAACAGCAGAACGTACTAGGGTGAGCGATCAGGTCATGAGCGATCCAAGAACTAAATACCTAACAGAGGGGGGATATTTTCAATAAATTACAGACCAGTGTTAATTGATCATGACCTCTGTTTCTCTGCATAAACATGATTATCTGAAGCAAGTGAGAACTTAACACCCTGAGCACAAGAAGAGTGTGTCTATATCTGCTCTTTTATAAAAACAACAGGATGTCTTAGATTTGTATTATAGCCAGACCAAACATTCAAACATGTAAACAACTAAATGATCCTTTTAACTCACTTTAGTATAGTATAGTATAGCACAGTACAGTGCAGTATAGTACAGTACAGTACAGTACAGTGCCGTATAGTGTAGTATAGTACAGTACAGTATAGTATTTAATGATTTAGTCCTCGCATGCCTTTTTGTAGGTTGAAGAGGGAGGAAGGAAGGTGAAATGCAGATGGGGTTTTTCAGGAGAAAAGGCAGTGATCCAAGGAGTACTTTTACAAATTTACATTTAATTTTAGCAAAAGCCTAGAGATATTTTATGATCAAATCTATTAACGTTAAAAATGTGGCTATGAGCTAAACATGATAGTTGTTCTTTTTTTGTCAAAACTAAAAGATGGTGGTGTTTCTTTAGCACTAAGCCCTAAAGCAGAGCATGTTTTATTAATGCACAGGCTGCACATTACACATTAACACATACATTATGCATACCTTTTTGGTTCTAGTTTTTGTTGTATAAACGTGCCATATTTTGAAAGTATTGTGACAGTTTGACATGTGTAATATGCTTTGATAACAGAGAAAGAGGAGTCCGTCCAGTAGCATTTTTAATAGTATTTACAGTACAGAAGTTTTCTCTTTTTTAATTCCGGAGTTTTTATTGTCATTACACTGTCACAAGTACAGCGCAACGTAATTTAGTCTCTGCATTTAACTTATCCCCTTGGGGAGTAGTGGTCTGCCATTGTGCGGCACCCGGGGAGCAGTGTGGGGTTAAGGGTCTTTTGCTCAAAGAGTCAGAGTGGCAGTGGGTTTTGATCTCACAACCTCAGGATTCCAAGCCCTATGCCCTAACCACTAGGCCAGCACTCCCCTAACTAATATTGATATGTGTATATATACTAACATGTGAACATGAACAGGCTGATTTTGAAAAGGTGAAGGGGAGAGAGAGAAGTCAATCAAAAGTTTAGGAGTTGCAAACTTTGGGTGAATAGAAAGAACGTCAAGTGCTGTACAGGTATGGCACACCCACTGCTCACAAAACACTGTTACGGAGTGCTGGAATGGATTCTCATTCTAAAGCCTGGTTCTAAAGCCTGGTTCATAGCCTGGTTCATAGCCTTAAATCATCTACATTCTGCTTGGAAATGAGATGTGTGGAATGCTGCCAGCAAAGTATTTGCAGCACTATAATATTCAGTGTGGTTTCCTTTAACTGATATTCTGGCCCAACTTTAGTGGGAAGTTATGAGCACTGAACACAAGCTTACATTTAAAGAAGTGAAAGGACTGGAATTCATGAATTTATGCTGTGTCATATCTTTATCACCTCCTCCTCCATTTTAGATGTGATTAATCTATCTCTGTTACAGGGATATGTACCTAAAGCTTTTAAGGTTGCTGTAATTAAACCTCTGCTTAAGAAACCGTCTCTTGACCCAGATGACTTGGTCAATTATAGACCTATATCCAATCTTCCTTTCTTATCCAAAATTCTTGAGAAAGTAGTTGCCAAACAAGTTTGCGATCACTTACACCATAATGAACTTTTTGAAGAGTTTCAGTCTGGCTTTAGAGCTCATCATAGCACTGAAACAGCTCTGGTGAAAGTCACTAATGATATTCTCATGGCCTCAGATAATGGACTTGTATCTGTGCTCGTCCTGTTGGATCTTAGTGCTGCATTTGATACAGTTGACCATAATATTCTTTTAGAAAGACTTGAATATTTTGTTGGAATTAAAGGAACAGCACTAGACTGGTTTAAATCTTATCTATCTGATCGAATTCAGTTTGTTCATGTTAATGATAGATCTTCAACATGCTCAAAGGTTACCTGTGGAGTACTACAGGGATCAGTGCTAGGACCAATTCTCTTTACTTTATACATGCTCCCAATTGGTAGAGTTATTAGACAGCATGGGATTAATTTCCACTGTTATGCTGATGATACCCAGCTACACTATATTGCCAAAAGTATTTGCTCACCCATCCAAATTATTGGAATCAGGTGTTCCAATCACTTCCATGGCCACAGGTGTATAAATTCAAGCACCTAGGCATGCAGACTGTTTTTACAAACATTTGTGAAAGAATGGGTCGCTCTCAGGAGCTCAGTGAATTCCAGCGTGGAACTGTGATAGGATGCCACCTGTGCAACAAATCCAGTCGTGAAATTTCCTCGCTCCTAAATATTCCACAGTCAACTGTCAGCTGTATTATAAGAAAATGGAAGTGTTTGGGAACGACAGCAACTCAGCTACGAAGTGGTAGGCCACGTAAACTGACGGAGCGGGGTCAGCGGATGCTGACGCGCATAGTGCGAAGAGGTCGCCAACTTTCTGCAGAGTCAATCACTACAGACCTCCAAACTTCATGTGGCCTTCAGATTAGCTCAAGAACAGTGCGCAGAGAGCTTCATGGAATGGGTTTCCATGGTCGAGCAGCTGCATCCAAGCCATACATCACCAAGTGCAATGCAAAGCGTCGGATGCGGTGGTGTAAAGCACGCCGCCACTGGACTCTAGAGCAGTGGAGACGCGTTCTCTGGAGTGACGAATCGCGCTTCTCCATCTGGCAATCTGATGGACGGGTCTGGGTTTGGCGGTTGCCAGGAGAACGGTACTTGTCTGACTGCATTGTGCCAAGTGTAAAGTTTGTTGGAGGGGGGATTATGGTGTGGGGTTGTTTTTCAGGAGCTGGGCTTGGCCCCTTAGTTCCAGTGAAAGGAACTCTGAATGCTTCAGCATACCAAGACATTTTGGACAATTCCATGCTCCCAACTTTGTGGGAACAGTTTGGAGCTGGCCCCTTCCTCTTCCAACATGACTGTGCACCAGTGCACAAAGCAAGGTCCATAAAGACATGGATGACAGAGTCTGGTGTGGATGAACTTGACTGGCCTGCACAGAGTCCTGACCTCAACCCGATAGAACACCTTTGGGATGAATTAGAGCGGAGACTGAGAGCCAGGCCTTCTCGTCCAACATCAGTGTGCGACCTCACAAATGCGCTTCTGGAAGAATGGTCAAAAATTCCCATAAACACACTCCTAAACCTTGTGGACAGCCTTCCCAGAAGAGTTGAAGCTGTTCTAGCTGCAAAGGGTGGACCGACGTCATATTGAACCCTATGGATTAGGAACGGGATGTCACTTAAGCTCATATGTGAGTCAAGGCAGGTGAGCAAATACTTTTGGCAATATAGTGTATATCTGGCTATAAATCCAGATGAAGCTAACCCATTACATAGATTACAGGCATGTCTTGAAGACATAAAAACCTGGATGACTCTTAACTTTCTGCTTCTGAATGCAGATAAAACAGAAGTTATAGTCTTTGGACCAGAGTCTCTGAAAAAGAAACTGATTAGCCAGTCACTTCATTTGGATGGGATTAAACTGATTTCAGATAATAAAGTAAAAAATCTTGGTGTTATTTTTGATCAGGACCTGTCTTTTAAATCCCATATCAAAGAGGTTTCTAGAATTTCCTTCTTTCATCTGAGGAACATTGCAAAAATTAGAAATATCCTGTCCAGGGGTGATGCTGAGAAACTAGTCCATGCATTTGTTACTTCAAGGCTGGACTATTGTAATTCTTTACTATCAGGAAGTCCACAAACTGTAGTTAAAAGCCTTCAGCTGATCCAAAATGCTGCAGCCAGCGTTCTAATGAAAATTAAAAAGAGAGATCATATCTCGCCTATCCTGGCTTCTCTTCATTGGCTTCCTGTTAAATCAAGAATAGAATTTAAAATCCTCCTTCTCACATATAAAGCCTTAAATGGCCAAGCTCCATCTTATATCAGAGATATGATTGTTCCTTATGTTCCTAACAGAGCACTTCGCTCTCAATCTGCAGGTTTACTAGTGGTTCCTAGAATTTCTAAAAGTAGAATGGGAGGCAGATCTTTTAGTTATCAGGCTCCTCTCCTGTGGAACCAACTACCAGTTTTAGTCCGTGAGGCAGACACCCTGTCTACTTTTAAGGCTAGACTTAAAACTTTCCTTTTTGATAAAGCTTATAGTTAGAGTGGCTCAGGTTATCCTGAGCTATCTCTATAGTTATGCTGCTATAGGCTTAGACTTTTGGAGGACATAGGGACCCCCATTTCATCATTCTGCTTCATTCTCTCTCTGTTCTCCTAACTGCAGAATCTGTTAGTTCAATCTCTAACCTTCTGTTCTGTCTGCTTTTCCTCAGAGTAGCTTTGCCTCGTCTGTTCCTGTTTGGCTGTGACGTCATCCTGGAAAGAAACATCAGCTGTGCTGCTTCCATCAACACCCTTGTTTATAGATGTTGGAGATCGGCCTGTTTTCCAGAGTGGTCCTGTTTCTCTGACCGTGACTGGCTGGATGTGCTCTCTTCGTCCTCTGGCATGGGAGCTGGCTCGGAGCTCGTCTGCCTGGCTGTGTGTTTCCTGGACGGGGCCGCCTTTTACAGCTGCTTTTTGTTTCTCTGCTTCTGTCTCCTTGAACCCCAGTCGGCCTCGGCAGATGGCCGCTCACACTGAGCCTGGTTCTGCTGGAGGTTTCTTCCTGTTAAAAGGGAGTTTTTCCTCTCCACTGTCGCTACAAGCATGCTTAGTGTGAGGGATTGTATTTGAGTCGATGCAATCAACTGGTTTTCCTTAGATAGAAAACTTTGTATCAATTTGACTTTATGATCTGGTTGAACTGTAAAGTGCCTTGAGATGACATGTGTTGTGAATTTGGCGCTATATAAATAAACTGAATTGAATTGAATTGAACTGCAATACATTTCTTTTATAACCACCTCTGAGCAGTGTCATGCATACGCCAAATCTTTAAGCCATTTATAATGACTTCTTCACCTAAAGCACATAATAGAAGTGACTGACTTTCTTGTAGAAAGAATGACTTTGATTTGTAAAACAGAGAGATTAAAAAGTGAATGAATTCGGCACATGGCCACATGTAAAAATGTATAATTAAAATCATAAAAAATATATATCTTAAAATTTATTATTTATTCAGGACAAAGATTGTTTATGTAATGTGACTAAAACATCTCAACTAATTTTTTTACCAATCAGTTCTTTCCTACAGTCTGACCCAGGCACTACCTGTGACTGATACTCATTGTCTTTCGCTTTATCCAGCATCTCCAAGACCCCTCTTTCCCTAGACACCAGAGCCTGAGGTGTTCCCAGGCCAGCAGAAAGACATAGTTCCTCCAACGTGTCCTCTCAGTAGGACATGCATGGAACATCTCCCGAGAGATGCATCGAGGTGGCATCTCAAAAAGATGTCCAAGTCACCTCAGCTCACTCTTTTCAATGTGGGGAAGAGGCTCCTCAGCATATCTCTATGGTGGGTCCCAGCCACACTGCGAAGAAAGCCCATTTCAGCCATTTGTTTCTGGGATCTCGTTCTTTTGGTCCTCATCCAAACTTCATGACCATGAGAGTGAGGATATAGAACGACTGATATATCAAGAGCTTTGCCTTTTCGCTCAACTCTCTCTTTACTACAACAGACCAGTGTAGCTTCTACATTTTAGAAGCAGCTGCACCGATCTCTCTATTGATCTCCCGCCCCATTCTCCCCTAACTCGCGAACAGGACCCCAAGATACTTGAGCTCGTCTACTTGAGGCAGGTACTCTCCTCCAACCAGAAAGGGACAGCCCACATTTTTTTCAAGCCTCTCTTACAGAGCTTGATTCTGACTAAAGAGGGATCTACCTGTAGCAGGCATTTTGTTGTTACTTACTGGAGCAGCAAAACAAACACAAAGAACTCACCCAGCAGGGATCAGAGAAGGTAATAGTTAGGGTACTTGGTGGATAAGTGGCAGAAGTAACATAAATACATAATCAACAATGAGTTATGTTGTTGTTTGGATTTTAAATACTACATTTTACATAACAAAAAAGGGTTATTAACAGAGAACTTTGATGATATTTCCACAGCTTTGGTCTTGACTGGTCTCAATTTAAAACCTAGAGTCCTGAATGTTCAACGCTGAGGGAAAATCTGTACATATGTGGTCCAGTCTGAGACAACACCATAAAAAAGTGGTCTGGATACTGGTCTCATACTCGAACACTGCTATGAGGTACATTTATATGTCTTACCTTATAAGCTCATTCTTTATAAGAATTTGCTCCAGATAGCGTTTCCGGGCATAAAAGTCGAGGATATGCTTCCTTACATAGAATCCTCTCCACGTTTTCGAAATCTGTAGGGATTACAGAGAATTAATATTATTTATTTTCTTTTTCAAAAGCATGCACTGGAAATTTCAGCATGTGAGAAAATATAATTTTTTTCAGAACAAAACATTTTTTTAAAATAATCTAACAGTTGGTTACTGTGCCCCCTACAGAGACGTTAAATTCTCCACAAAACATTATCCGCTTAGTACTCTCAGGACTGTCCCAGGCATTTCCATATAAATCACATGCAACGTTTTATCCTAAAAGACAGTGACAAACAGGCTACTCAAGGTGAGACTGACAAGTGTCATAGCTCTATATATTTAACCATTTAAGTCCACACTCACTGAATAGGTTGCAGATTAAGTAGCACATACACCCACACACACCAGCGGGCCATTTTAAGGCAATGGGCGGATGTCCTTCAGACTAATTAGAAGATTAAAACAATGGCAGGTAAAAGAATAATTGTGCTATGCGAAGGCGGAAAAGGAGAAGGAGAAGTGGAGGCTGTGGGAAAACAACAAAGAGCAAAATGAGAATTAGCATTGATCTGCCAGTCAATAGATAATTTTAAATAAAGTAATTGGCACCACAAGTTCTTGCTGACCTCTGTTGACTAGTAAAATCAATGCTGTTGAATCTAATACAAATACGAGGTGCAGCATGTAAACACTAGTTTCTATTATGGCCTTAATACATTATCTTCTGTTATTCAACACAATGGGATGGAAAAAAAGGTAGATTAGAAAACAGGAATGGAGTCAACACTGATCTGTAGGAAACGTCAAAATTAAGATGTTTTTTCCCTCTTTCTTGCAACAGTGAACAGATATTAAGTGAAAAAGTTTTGATTTCGTTGGCTAAAAAAATAAAGAATTTATTTCTAGTCTTCTATCAGATTTTTGCTTTCTTGTGTTTTATACATACAAATTCTTATGCTCTTTCATCCTGGCGGCTGCATTTGATTGTAGTCCTGACACTGATGTAGACCAGACATGCAAAAGTCTCGACTTACTAACATATGTCTTTAGGAGCTGTGGTTGATCTAATGCCCTTTCCAACAGAGTAAAATTACTGCAGGAGATCTAAACAAGGCTTATTTAAGGATTAAACCCTTTGCTTGCTTACAGTTTAAACTACTAAAGGCCGGTTTATACAGCAAGATAACCATGCCGATTTCTACCCCATCTTTCCTCTCCCATTGCCCAGATATGAATATCAGTCCCTGGAGCAACTCAGGACTGATATTCAGAAGGATAATCCAGCCATGTGTGGTGTCTTCAGAGTGAACGACTGCTTGGTAGAATGCTTCAACCCCTCCAACAAATTTTATTCCAACATCCTGGATTCTATTGGCACAATATTTTGTAATGTATGGTTTCCATACAAAAAAGTAAAAAAAAAACCCACTGAACTTGTTTTACAACTATGAAGATGCTTTGCTTCCCAACCAGGAAGCTTTCTCAGTTCTGGGAAGTGAAACATCTTCAAACTTGGAAAACAAGTTTGGTGGATTGTTTTTCTAACTTTTTTGGAATGACTATGACCTGGATGACTGAGAATCTTCACCAGCACATGATGTCCATTGAAGCGATGTGCATTCCAGAGTTTGAAATTCTAAACTTTCCAGCTCAACGCTGTGCATGGTAAATGGTAAATGGCATGTACTTATATAGCGCCTTTATTCAAGTTAGGAGACTTGACCAAAGCGCTTTACACTACATTCATTCACCCATTCACGCACACACTCACACACTGATAGTGGCAAGCTACATTGTAGCCACAGCTGCCCTGGGGCTCACTGACAGAAGCGGGGCTGCCGTACACTGGCGCCACCGGGCCCTCTGACCACCATCAGTAGACAATGCAGGTGAAGTGTCTTGCCCAAGGACACAACGACACTGAAAGTCGGAGGCTTGAACCGTCAATCCTTCGATTTCAGGGCAAACTCCTACATCAAACGCCACTGTCGCCCCATCAACAAATGTGTCTTACATAATGATAAGCTTTTTGCTAAATATTATGCAAAAAATAGGGTTGGCATCAAAATATGATTTTACATTGAACAGTCTGAACCTGTACTTTTGTACAGTGAATTAGAACATTAGGAAAAAGTTAATGTTTTTCATTAGTCAGTTCAGAAAGTAAACAGTATGTTAAGCTAATTTGTTACACATCAATTGATCTTTCATGTGTTTGCCTCTAGTACTTTTGATGGCTAAAGCTTGCAGCTAATGAAAACCCAAATTATGTTACTTGTAAAAGTTTTAATGTAAAATAATGTTATGATGATGATAAGTGAAAAATTCCTGACATGGCAGTAACCAATCAGTGACACCTTTCACAGGGTAAGCCACAAACGTTTCTTAATAAAAGAGACTGTTGACAGAGTGCTGTGTGCAAACATCTTAAGGGAAAGTTAAGGAAAAGGAAAATGTGTTGTAGGAAAAGGTCAACAAGAAATAGAAATAACTACAGCATCAGGAGGAGTGTTTAAAAAGCCAATACAAGACTTCAGAGGAGATTGACAAAACAGTTTGAGTAAGCACTTGAAGGTTGGCCATACACACATACAACCCTATGTTATGCCCTGAAAGAGGAGTGAGGAGGCAAAAGTCTAAACTGTTAAGATGACTTTGGAGGCTTACCCTTGTTGATCAAATTTTTGAAGATACTGATTTAATTTTGTTCTGCGGGACCCAAAAATATAAATGCATAGTAAACTGACAATGCTACCAATATCCTGGCCAAAAAACTGGCCTTTATCTAAACCCCACATAAAATCTAATAAGTCGTTTTAGTAGGAAATTGATGGACTCCAGATCCAACAATACCGACAATGCAACATGTCAGCATTATCACTTGCCACACCGACTTGATATCCAACTGATCCAAAATGAACATAGGACAATTTTCATCAAGCCAGCTTTTCTGAATCGAAAGTCTTTTTTTTTTTTGATACTCTAAATTGATGAATTGTCAGGTGTCATTGGCCAAAACCACTGATCACCATGGTTAACAGAGAATAATTCTAAATATCATTCAATGTGTTAGTAATCTCCTATGTCAATTATTGTTTAAAACATGTTTTGACAAATTATTGTCTTTGATGGATCAGTAGAGAAGAAAACACTATTTAAAATTGGAAATAAAAACATATATACATGTATAAATTGTCACAGTCTTTCAGGGAAATATCTATTTCATTGGCTGCCTAATTTGGACCAAAGCACTGCCCTAAATTTTAAAATTGCTTTCAAAAGTCTCTCATTGTTTGTGTCTTTATTGTAGCTCAGTGCATAGGGGGTTAAAGAGTTCTTATCAAAGAAATATTAATTTATTGCTCATCGAGAGGTTCAGAGAATTTACTTCATGTACAGATGTCTGGCTTATTAAAACAATATTACAAAGGGGAGCATGCCAAACAGCCCATTTCAGAAATGTTGAGGGCCATTTTTGTTTTCAATGATCCCACAATCATTTTCTAAGCTTAGAGACGGTTACTTTTTTATATATAACAGGTCAGGTTGATTTGTAGACCTTATGCTTCTATTGAAACAAAATTATTAATTAAATTAAAAGTTCTGAAACATTTAAGCATGGTTAAAACAAACCAAAAAAGAGATTACATTTGTGAGGTTATTGATACGGTTTTGTACTGATGTGAATGCAAATGTCTCAAAATGGTCGGAGAATGAAAAAATTAGTTTTGATATGAATAGTTTTGCACTAAAACTGGTAATAAGGCTTGTTAAAAAGATTGCTATTCAGTGGGAGTCCCCTTCACAGCAGACACTAAGTAATAAAATGTCTCCACACAGAGACAGTGCATTTGCTAATACAAGACACTATCATGATATTTACCCTGACTTCCATCTCGTTGTAGTAATTCATCTTCATGGTAAAATATGCCTCCTGTGAACACAAAGGAAAAGATGCCGTTACATCTTGTCTCCGGGCCCTTTCATCTGTCCACAGCAGGCATCAAAGATAAAGAGCTCTTTATACATAATATATTGCACAGAGATGGTACAGATCTGGCCACAGAACGGGAGGAGGGTGGGGGAAAAGGGGTCGAAATGGAAAAAAAATGGAAAGCAAAAAACAGGAGAGCAATGAGAAAAGGTAAAGAAGATTTAAGAGAAGGGGAGAGAGAGAAAGTGTTTAGTGGGCCTTTGTATCAAGGGGAGGATGGTACTCTCTTAATATACTAACACAGACAAGGGCCAAGAAAATCTATGATAGTCAAGCAGCGCGCTAATGGAGATGTATGACGGTGTGAAAAATGACCAGGGATGGTAATTACATAGTAACTACATTTTTCACAGAAACGCCACTACCTACACTCGCCTACACTCACAGAACTCGCTGACACTCACAGACACTCTCATTCACACACACGCGCACATGCACGTAGCACCTGTAGCCTGCCAAACATTCGTTTATTACAAGTTTCCTCTTTACCGCGGCTAGCGCGAGATGACACACACGCAAAATAGTATGTACATTCGGTCCGAACATTCAGTTACTCACCATCTTAGCGAGCAGCGCGGTACCCGTTGTCTCGACACCGTAATCCACACGCATTGCAATAACCCCCACGTTACATTCAAACATTCCGCTCTACTCACATTCTGGTGCGTCAACAATCAGGTCCGGGAGGAAACCAGAGCCTCTCGGAACCAAAGTTCTTATACACTGATCTGGCAGTGGAGAGAGCTTTTGGCACCCGGAAGTGGAATGTTTTGGGAAAAATATTATTGTATTGCTGGATTGCAAACATGTATGAGTGTAAATATTGTCTGTGTCATTTCTAGTATTTATATTGTTGGTTTGGGAATATTATGATATTTTGTATGGGGATTTAAAAGTGTGTTTTTAATACTTTTTGTAACATTATTTTCCTATTGGTTGATTTCTGAGCCAATTAGATGTAAGTTGGAGATTGTAAGCCTTTTAAAAGGGCAGGGCTTTTTCATTCTAGAGAGAGAGGGTGAGCTGAACACACACTTGCTGCGAGGCTGTGTTTAAGGGAAAAGTAACTGCAAAGAAGTTTGTATTTAAAGTCTTTGTTATAGTTTATATTTTGTGTTGCCTGATTGAGGCCGGTTTTCTTTTGCGTTTATTCAGTTTTTTTGTTTCTCATATTTTTGTATGCTCACTTCCGCACTGTAAATAAATACGCACCCGTCTTCACGATATCTTCAGTTGCCTAGTTTCCGTCTTCTTTAACCTTTATTGGTGAGGGCCAGTCCTGACATGAGCTGGGGGTGGAGAAGCCCCTTTCTCACAAGTGGTGTTCAGAAGTGGTGACAGTGGCGTCTAAGAAGTCTGGGAAGAAGACGACGACAACAGGCAGACGGGTTCAGCCTAAACGAAGTATGGCGTATCGGCGTCTACCCCAAGACCCTGTGGAGGAGTTGACAGCCGAAGAGGTGGAGGAGCATGATGCTGGTAAGAAGACCGGAGGAGCCGTGGGCGGAGCCATGGACGGAGCAGATGGTGCGCCGCAGACCCTGGACATGACAGCGCTGTACAGCCTGCTACAGAAGTCGATGCTGGCCCAGCGAAGTGAGGCGCAAAAGCAAGAATTGAGATGGCGCAGCGTCCAGATTCAGCTCAACAATGTGCACGACGAGCTGGAGAGAGAGCGACGAAAGGCAAGTGAGGGGCAGCATCAGCAGCCAGATGATGACGGCGATGGGGCTCTGCTACAGCTGAGACTTCAACACAACCCAGTGGGGCCACCGCCAGGTTTCCAGGTACCTGCAGCAACACCAGCAGCAGGGGCACCAGCAACAGTGGCGCCAGCAGTAGAAGCTCCCGCACCAGCCGCCGCACCAGCAGCAGCACCACCACCACCACCCCCAGCAGCAGCAGCTCCAGCACCAGCAGCTCCTGCACCAACGCAGCCTCCAGCACAGCAAGCAGCACAGCAAGCAGCACCACCCTCTGCAATGGGTCCAGCCACACTGACTCCTGTGTCCTGGACGAGGGCAGCAGTGCCAAAACTGGAAGAAGGAGACGATATTGAACAATATCTGACAACATTTGAAAGACTGGCCATGGCCTACAGGTGGCCGAGGGCGGACTGGGCCATCTACTTGGTCCCGTACCTGACGGGACGGGCCCGTGCAGCCTATGTTGCGATGGACATGAATGACACCGTGGACTATGACAAAGTGAGGGCAGCAATCCTCACTAAGTATGAAATCAACGGCGAGACGTACCGGCAGCGTTTCCGGGAGCCAGATGTTCGAGCAGAGGAGACCCCTCGGGAGCTGTACAACCAACTGATGGACCTGTACAAGAAGTGGGTGAGACCGGCAGGAAAGACTGGAGCAGATTGGAGAAATCCTCATCCTGGAGCAGTACCTGCGCACCCTAGCTTCTGAAATCCGGGTCTGGGTTAAGGAGCACAACCCAGCCACTGGCCAGCAGGCAGCTGAACTTGTGGAAGCGTTCCTGGCAGCTCGACCGGGTCCGAAGGTGTTCCGGGGCCAGAACTACAGCCGACCAGCCAGCAATGGTAAGTCTGGGGTTCCTGGTGGGGGAGTTGGTCCTAGGGGGTTAGGTCAGGTTAGGCCACAGCACCACACCTACACTTCCCCTTACACCCCATCACCTAGGCCTCCTACACGCCCCTACACACCACCGCCTAGACAACCGACACCCGCAACTACCACACATAGGCCGCCTTTTACATGCCATAACTGTGGTAAACCTAACCACATTGCCAGAGACTGCCCGAACAGGAAGCCTCAGGGGTCCAGTTTTTGTAATGTCCCGAGAGCAGATGATGCTGTATCCAAAGTGCAGACAATTCCTGTAACAGTGAATGACAAGCCCACATTTGCGCTACTTGACACTGGCAGTACACACACCCTAGTCCAGCCACACCTGATTGATAAGTCAGCTGTATTGGTGGCAGAGCAGCTTAGGGTGTGTTGTGTGAATGGAGACGAGCATGTGTACCCTGTGGTAGATATTTGTCTGGAGGTTCAGGGGCAAGCCTTTTTGCTGAGGGCAGGCATTGTACAAGGATTACGGTATCCTGTAGTGCTAGGTCAGGACGTCCTTATTTTGCCTGATCTGGTGTTGTCATCAGTGCCTGTTGGCATGGTCGTAACAAGGGCCATGGCTAAGCAGTTTGCTGAGGAGGATGCTCAGGAAGAAGCACAGAGAGAAGTGTGGGAGATGTTGCCCTATAGCCAGTGTGAAATTTGACCCCCCTGTTGCCACGAAAACACCCAAGACACGTAGGCAACGAAGACGTGCTAAGCTGCAAGGCACAGCAGATAAGGTTATCAGCCAGTTGCCGAAACCTGTTGATGAAGATGTGTGGAAGCCTCCCCATAATCTTAGTGATCTGCAGAAGAATGATGACTCTTTGAAGGATGCATTTGCTAAGGTGACAGAAATTGATGGTGTGCAAACTGGGGTGGCTAAGAGGCTAACTGGTGAATATTATTTTGTGAGAGATGGCCTACTCTACCACCAACCTGAAGATGGCAGTGTAGAGCAGGTAGTTGTGCCGGAATGCCTGAGAGAGAAAGTGCTTGGTCTCGGTCATGATATACCCTGGGCGGGGCATTTGGGTACTGTTAAGACCCTAGAGAGAATTGCACAACGCTTTCACTAGCCAGGGCTCTACACTGATGTTCAGAAATACTGTCGCACATGTTCAACCTGCTAACTCACTAGCAAACAAGGCTAGACCCTCTCCTCTGCAACCACTTCCCATCATAGGCGTTCCATTTCAGAGGATAGGGATGGACATTGTAGGACCCTTGGAAAGAACCAGGTCAGGACACAGGTTCATTCTAGTCATGTGTGATTATGCCACACGTTACCCGGAAGCATTCCCCCTTCGAAAGATAACGGCAGGGTCAGTTGCAAGAGCACTGTTACAACTGATATCACGTGTAGGCATACCACATGAAATACTGACAGACCAAGGCACCGCATTCCTATCCAAGACACTTAGACAAGTGTATAGTTTGCTGGGGATTAAGGGGATACGGACCACTCCCTACCACCCCCAGACTGATGGGCTGGTGGAACGATACAACCAAACCCTGAAGTCAATGCTACGAAAGTTTGTAGCAGAGAACGGCAAAGACTGGGACCCGTGGTTGCCATACCTCCTTTTCGCCTATAGGGAGGTACCACAGGCTTCCACTGGTTTCTCCCCATTTGAGTTGCTGTATGGGCGCCAGGTCCGGGGCCCGCTGGATCTACTCCGTGATGCCTGGGTGACCCCAAATCTCCAGGAGCCAGACAGCGTGCTCTCCTACGTCCTGAGGATCCAGGAGAAGATGGGGAGGATGGCCAGCTTGGTGGAGGAGAACATGACCAAGGCCCAGCAGACCCAGGCACGCTGGTACGACCAGAGGGCGAGGCAGAGGAGCTTCGCACCAGGGCAGCAGGTTCTCTTGCTGTTGCCAACGACGGAGAACAAGTTGCTGGCCCGCTGGCAAGGTCCCTACACCGTGGCACGTCTGCTGGGGCCGGTGACCTACGAGGTGGAGATGCCGGGACGACGAAAGGGCAAGCAGGCCTTCCACATTAACCTGCTAAAGGAGTGGCATGAGCGGGGGACGCCCAGCCTGCAGCTCCTGGTGCAGGACGTGGAGGGTGATGTGGAGCTGTAGGAGCAGTTCTTCCCTGCAGTTGCTGCACCAACTGACCCGGATGTCTCCCACCTGACAGTGCAGCAAGCAGAGGAGTTGCAGGCCATCATCCCACCTGGCCGGTTTTCCGAGCAGCCTGGGCACACGTCCTTGGTGGAGCATGACCTCCAGCTTAAAGACACTAATCCAGTGCGGCAGAGGATGTACCGCATCCCAGAGCGGTTGCTACCCGCTCTGCAGGAGGAGCTGGATGTCATGAAGCAGCTGGGGGTCATTGAGCGGTCCAGCAGCAGTTGGAGCAGTCCGGTGGTGCTGGACCCAAAGAAGGATGGCAGCATCCGCTTTTGTATTGATTTTAGACAATTGAACTCTCAGTTTACGTTCGACGCCTACCCAATGCCCAGACTGGACGACTTGATCGAGGGGCTTGGGAGGGCGTCATACATCACGACCCTTGACCTCTGCAGGGGTTATTGGCAGGTGCCGATGGCCGAGGGGGCAAAGCAATACACTGCCTTTCGCACCCCTCAAAGCCTGTACCAGTTCACAACCATGCCCTTTGGCCTGCAGGGGGCACCGGCGACCTTCCAAAGACTCATGGACTATGTCCTGGAGGGCATGGGGGGCTTCGCCGCAGCTTACCTTGACGACGTCATGGTATGGAGCGCCACCTGGGGGGAGCACCTCCAACACCTGGCCCAGGTGTTCTGGCGCATCAGCGAGGCTGGCTTGACCGTCCACCCTAAGAAATGTTCCCTGGCCCAGCAGGAGGTTCGTTACCTGGGCCATATCATTGGCAATGGGGTGATCAAGCCGCAGAAGGACAAGGTCGAGGCGGTCCAAGACTGCCCGCGACCACGGACCAAGAAGGACGTCCGCTCTTTCCTGGGCCTTGCCGGGTGGTATCGGAGGTTCATTCCGAACTTTGCCGCCCGGGCTGCACCCCTCACTGACCTGACTCGCAAGTCGGGGTCGGCGAAAGTGGAGTGGGGGGAGGTGCAGGAGCAGACCTTCCAGGATTTGAAAGGGGCTCTGATTTGAGTCCAGACTTTGAGCAGACTTTTACTGTGCAGACGGATGCCTCTGGGGTTGGGCTGGGGGCAGTCCTTCTCCAGGGGGAGGCAGAGCAACAGAGGCCGGTGGCTTACATTAGCCGGAAGCTTTTCCCCCGGGAAACAAGGTACTCGGTGGTGGAGCTTGAGTGCCTTGCCGTGAAATGGGCACTAGAGACATTCAAGTATTACCTGTTGGGCAGAGACTTTTTGCTAGAGACTGACCACAGAGCGTTGCAATGGCTGGGGAGAATGAAAGACTCTAATGCACGTATTACACGTTGGTTTCTCTCTTTGCAACCCTTCAGGTTCACAGTGAAATACAGGGCGGGGTCAGAAAACCCGGTAGCAGACTTCCTGTCTCGCCAGGATGGCGAGCCAACCGGAGGGGGAGGAAATGTGAAAAATGACCAGGGATGGTAATTACATAGTAACTACATTTTTCACAGAAACGCCACTACCTACACTCGCCTACACTCACAGAACTCGCTGACACTCACAGACACTCTCATTCACACACACACACACGCGCATGCGCACGTAGCACCTGTAGCCTGCCAAACATTCGTTTATTACAAGTTTCCTCTTTACCGCGGCTAGCGCGAGATGACACACACGCAAAATAGTATGTACATTCGGTCCGAACATTCAGTTACTCACCATCTTAGCGAGCAGCGCGGTACCCGTTGTCTCGACACCGTAATCCACACGCATTGCAATAACCCCCACGTTACATTCAAACATTCCGCTCTACTCACATTCTGGTGCGTCAACAATCAGGTCCGGGAGGAAACCAGAGCCTCTCGGAACCAAAGTTCTTATACACTGATCTGGCAGTGGAGAGAGCTTTTGGCACCCGGAAGTGGAATGTTTTGGGGAAAATATTATTGTATTGCTGGATTGCAAACATGTATGAGTGTAAATATTGTCTGTGTCATTTCTAGTATTTATATTGTTGGTTTGGGAATATTATGATATTTTGTATGGGGATTTAAAAGTGTGTTTTTAATACTTTTTGTAACATTATTTTCCTATTGGTTGATTTCTGAGCCAATTAGATGTAAGTTGGAGATTGTAAGCCTTTTAAAAGGGCAGGGCTTTTTCATTCTAGAGAGAGAGGGTGAGCTGAACACACGCTTGCTGCGAGGCTGTGTTTAAGGGAAAAGTAGGTGCAAGGAAGTTTGTTTTTAAAGTCTTTGTTATAGTTTATATTTTGTGTTGCCTGATTGAGGCCGGTTTTCTTTTGCGTTTATTCAGTTTTTTTGTTTCTCATATTTTTGTATGCTCACTTCCGCACTGTAAATAAATACGCACCCGTCTTCACGATATCTTCAGTTGCCTAGTTTCCATCTTCTTTAACCTTTATTGGTGAGGGCCAGTCCTGACATGAGCTCGGGGTGGAGAGGCCCCTTTCTCACAGACGGCCAAACTCTCTCCTCTGAATTTCATAATCAATGACAGCCCTGCCACAGAAGAGACTAAAAAAAAGGCCAGAGATACTCAGCAACGTACTCAACAAGCCATCACAGACCAAACGTGCCAGCCAACTACTATTGGCACGTTTCAGAAGCAAACTGGAGTGTCGGCCATAAAAGAGATTCATATTTCAACATGTCTTTTTCAATAACAACAGAGAAAAGGGAAGACGAGAAGAGGAAAGAACACAAAGACTTGAAAGGAGACAGTAAATTCAGCTTGATGTTTTGAGAAGCAGCCTTGTGCAAGTCGAATTACACACGATAAGGTCCCATAGACAGAGGAAGACAGACGAAGAGCAGAAGAGGAGGTGAAGCGTGGGATATCTCTGGGCTAATTCAAAACATTGCAGTGTGGCAATTTTGAGTGATTCAAATTAGCGCTCGTCTGTTTTTAAATGAGCCCAAACAGCCTCATTTTAGCCCATATGTGTGTTGTGACACATCCTTCACTGTTTATTTTAACACCCCCATTCGCACTCCCTCCTTTCCATTTCTTGAACGCCTCCCAAACGGCGACTGGCAGTTCTGCTTTAGCAAACAGTCAATTTACAGGCATGATAAATAGCTTGTTGTGATACATTTACAAAACTCAATCCAGGGGAAAATTATACGTGAGAGCGCTGGGTATTGGATCCGGTATCAACAATCTGTTCAATTAAGAAGAAGTTGGAGGCAATATGCTGTAAATGGGGCCTTGTTTTACAAAAGCACACATACACAACCATCATGAACACAACTCGTTCCTCATTTCTATTTGTCACTAAACTCTTTCTATAGGAATCCCAGAAATTATGAGATGATGGAATTCCTTATCGTAATTCATCACATTTGCTAAGTGTTAATTTCCACATGTGTAACGAGTGAATTATATTTCTTAAGGTGAGAGGAAGAGACTTAGAAATATGGCAATTGAATTCTAATGCATTCTTTCATAACATAATCAATATATCTATTGCTATTCCAGGCTTTAACTTACCTTCACCATTTGTCTGACACGTGCCCTTGCTGCAAAGCCCCGCCATGTCTTCTGTATAATAATTGCATTCTTTTGCAGATGCCTGTAATAAGATCATATTAGGAGGAGAACTAGAGGGAAATGTTTAAAGTTAATAGAAAAAGGCAAAACTTTGAAGAGGATGTAAATCTCAGATACAGATGGGGAAATTAAGGACAGTTATATCATTTTAGTTACGATCAGGAAATTATGAATCTCACTTTTAAACCGAAAATACATAAGCAAAAGCTTTTAATGAAAAAATGTAACCATGCAAATTGAGAAATTAGGTTATTTAAATAAAAAATAAAAAGTCAGGAAGACCTTATACACCTTATACTCAAAAGTACTCAGAATGACCCATAAGCAAGGAAGGCCTCGGCTCTTTTTAGGTTTTCAATCACACCATATGAGCGTCACCCTCTTTATTCAGTGGTCCACATTTGTATTCATCTTCAAACATACTCTAAATGCAAGTCCACTGTGATTCTCTGCCTCCAACAAGGCCATCAATTTCCAAAAGGCCATTTATATGTCCAGAAAATCAATGCTTATAGTGGGGATAGCACAACCCTGGAGTTGCACTTAGGCAGCTAAAACTGTTGCTAATTATCCACTTAACGCATTGATCAATTAACTAAAGTAATCTGAATTAATCTGCTGTCTGGAAGTTTGTCTGCTGACCCTGCAGAATGGTGCCAGGGTCACAGCATCAGAGGAAGCATGGGGGTAGAGACACATTTCTGTGTGTTAAAGGAAAGGAGCTATGAGCTGCATTTATTCCTTGAGGCCATTTGCACACTTATAGAAGTAGCTTAATTATGCGAGTGAGCTAATATGAGGGTTTCCCTAGAACTTAACTCTTAAAGCACCGCCTTAATGTTTTACAGTCTTCAAGAGAAGAACAGACTTGGTTCACTTTGTCTCAGTTTTTTTTTTTTTTTTTTTTGAGCATTTGATTATTTCTGTTTGAAATGCAACAGAACAAGGCAACATTTGTACTACTTTAGACAAACACTCATCACATTTCATATCTGCCAGACTACCTGAGGTACGCCCGCACCCTGCAGGCTCGGAACCAGCTCTGAATTTTGATCGCAGCCTGCGACTCCTTCTGTCTGTTCTCCTCTGCTTGCCTAAAACGTACAATCCAATGGTTAAAAAAACTAAGATCTGTAACTTAGAATGTTTTACAGTGGTTGTTATAGATGAATATCAAGCAGATACAATTTACACTAAGGAAGAAAGATAGACATATACCTTCCTCCTTATGTCTAACTGCCATTAAATATTTAAACTATAACAGTTTTACGCCAATTCTCTGTCTGTGAAATTTCTTGAAAATCTAACATATTTTTAGAAATACATAAAGATGTTTTACTGTCATTAAGGTTTCCATCAAACTATTAAATTAAGATTGGGTTTTTCAGGAGAGATTCCAGCCGCAGTCATAATAATGTGTTTTCAAAGACTTACATTTGCTTATAAATTATTTTATTATCAAATGTTTACTCTCTCATAATGAGAATAGGTTGATATAGCAGTAATATTTTAAGTGTTTTTAAAATATATTTTTTTACAATTGTGTGGATTAAACTGTTTCAGTACAATCTTTTAATCTGTGCTACCAGTGTGCACTTTTCACTTTAAGAAATGACTTGTAAAAAAAAAACTTGAACATTTTCAGGACCTTAAAATATTATTGGGATTTAATGTGAAAATGTTTAATATTTTTTCTGTTTTTTCAAACCTTTAAGAAACCTGCAAAAATGACTTCTAGTAAAGCAAAACGTATAAGTCAAATGAAAGATTTGAAGCCATTATAAAAATAAAACTATGTTGGTCCGTGTATTTCCTGTGAGATCATAAACAAACGCGACATCAACCAATGAATGTAGGAAAACCTCATCATGTTTAATACCACTACAAATTAATAATAATTAATAATATTTTTTGTTTGCGCTTCTGCATGTGATAAAAAGAATATGCACTTTTGATATATCCCTTCCTACTAGAGAGAGAAAAAAAGTTTTATACAGTAGTTTGACAGTCCTTGCGTGAGCAAATACATGTTTTAGGTACCGTGACACATTTTCTAAAATAATACTCCGCCAAAAGTGTGTCAAACTCGTTCATGTCAGCTGTAACATCGGAACTATTAGCGGGGTCTTAAATACTGTAATCAATGCAAACATTCAAATTTTTAATACTAATCTATTATTAATTAGCGTTATTAACATAATTTTTATGACGTGACTTGCATGTTAAATACTGTAATCAATGTCAGAAACCGTTATTGCCGACAAAAAAAAAGCGCAACAACCAAAGCTCTGTGTCATCTAAAATTCATAGGTCAACAAACACGTGAATAAATGCTACGAACCTTGTCCTGTAAAAATATTCCTTTCTAAATTCATCTACTTGTTGTTTCAATATGAAGTGCTCCATTGCTTACGAGACGTAATTTGTCTTGGCAACAGTTGCTAAGTTCAAGAGAGGCGTTAGAAACCTCTCTCTCTCTCTCTCTCTCTCTCTCTCTCTCTCTCTATATATATATATATATATATATATATATATATATAAATCATGTTAGATGCAAACATTCACATTTTTAATACTAATCTATTATTAATTAGCGTTATTAACATAATTTTTATGACGTGACTTGCATGTTAAAACAAAAAAAAAAACAAAAAACAAAACAAACAAAATATATACATATATATATATATATATATATATATATATATATATATATATATAATTAAATATATAATTAATATAATAATTAATAAAATAATTAATAAAAATTAATCAATAATAATAATTAATAATAGATTAGTATTAAATCTAACATGTTTACTCCTTTGAGTATGATTATTACCAACCATTGGTTCTGATCCTTCTGTAGCACTGATTAAGTTTATTTTTTTTTGATAAGAATACCCAAACAACATAAACTTTATTTTTTTTGTTATATACAGCCAAAAATCCAATAATGCATTTCTAACATACTTGCCCTAAATTAAAGTCAATTAGCAAAAAACGAAGACTGTCATTTCTTTGTTGATTACCCTCTGATTAATGTCATATTTAAACAATATAAACTGAAAACAAGAGCTGGAAAAAGTCATTTAAAAATGTCTACTCTCTGGATGCAGATTGTAGATGTTTGTATTGATCTGCCAGTTGCAAAACCTCTTCCTTCCATCCGTTCTGGCGAACCCATGGTTGCACAGACAATCCATCGAAGGGCAGTAGGAGGGCGGCCACCCTGGTAATTACTGGAGAGCTGTGTGACAACAGGCTGTGAAAGATGCATGTGTGAGAGAGAAACACAGAGACCAATTTATGAGAGTTGTTTTGACAAGGCAGTAAGAATGTCTGGAAGCAGTTTGTCTCGCTACAACACTGATGTGATGAAACCAGGTGTGTCTCTTTCGGAAATAGATAGAGAAAAGAGAATGGGGGCTTTGTGATAATAATGCAGTTTGTGTCTGACTACCCGCCATCTGTGATTTTCAGCTTTCTTTGGCTCCTTATTAGTCAGTTCTCTCTCAAAATGTTGTTGATGCCCAAGGAGGTTTTAAGTGATTACGTAAACTACTTCTTTATATATCTTACTCCATCTCTCCATATGGGGCATGTCACTTAACATGCATCTGGTCACCTCCCACAGTCAAGCTTTTTCAGCCAATCATTCTCTGTGTCCATTTTTTCCTAACTGAGGGCTGTATGTGCTGCGGCCAGCACTGGACATAAATACACATGCACAACAAAAGCTTTTGTAGGTTTGTGTGGTGCATATGAAAATGCTCAGTACTGTGTGTTTGTATTGTACATGAAAGGATATTTGTGGCTTCTATTATGTAATTACAGTTACATGGTGCAAATTTAAATTAAATGATATTGCAGAAATAGATTTGTATTTATGTCATTTATATATACTTTTGTCAAACAACATATTTTGTTTTCACTATATTTGAGTGAGAAGGTCACAGATCGGAACCCTTCAAGTTTCACTGATCCTGAAAAAAATCAATTGTATATTGTTTGCTTTATTTAAAAAAAGGTAATATAAAGAACAAATTAATGCATAAATCAAAACTATACTGAAACAACTGCAGCACAGTTGGTCAAAAATGGAATTTGCAGGTCAGACTAAACCTGACAACAACAAAAAAAGAAAAAAAAGAATTTGCTAAAAGGCCAATTTTTATGAGATTTTGCCTCCAAAGCATTATTCCAAACTAAGGTGTTTCAGCAGTTATTTTCTAAACTGTCTATTCAAGTTATGCTTAACTGCTTATCCATCCATCCATCCATCCATCCATCCATCCATCCATCCATCCATCCATCCATCCATCCATCCATCCATCCATCCATCCATCCATCCATCCATCCATCCATCCATCCATCCATCCATCATACATTCTGTTCAGGGTTTTGAGGGGGTTGAGCCTTCCAGGTAATCAATAAACTAGCATTAGGGTGCATCAGGATAGGTTGCCTGTAAAAATTTCAGCATAATATATAAAAGTAGAATAAAGTCCTTGTTCATTTAGAAATACTGCACAGTGTTTCTTTTTAACTTCTTTTAATTTCAAAAGAATCACTAAACCTTTATACTTAATTCTACTATTAATTTTACTTTATTAATTTACATTTTACTTAATTCTACTTATTATACGAGCACCTTACTTTTTATTTGGTGCAATTAGCCTCTTTGTTTATTTTCATTCTTTTATTAAAATATCACCACCCATTTGTTTAAAATGTACTACATCACTCCATTTAGAGCTTAAATATTAAATGCTAAAGCTTAGCCCTTTTCTTCTTAGCAAAGCTATTTTAAGTGCTTCTTTAAATTTTCTGCCTGGAGCAGCTGTTACTTTTACAGCTAGGATGCTTTTAAAGCCATTTAAGTCCATCTATACTTACCTCATCCATGCTAACCTCCCCTCAGTCCTTCTTTCTATATTCCTAATATCTTTCTGATATATAAAAATGATGATTTTGGCAGTAAAAGAGATATATCTTACCTTTATTATCTCACATATACCCAGGAAAAGGGAGGGAAGGAGACTAATGAATTGAGCATTGTGTAAAATAGTTTAATGCAGGGGTGGTCCATCATTATTTGTGGTGGATTGCATGCAGACAGGGGTGATCCATTAGTGCGGTTGTTTCCATCTGTGTATTCGCGCGTGTGTGTGGTGATGAATCTCTCATTGTGACAGTGGGGCCGGCAGCAGCAAATGTCCTTCTGGATTGGACGCACACCCACAACCACACACACACTAACACGCGCACATGCACCAAGCCCAGGCTAAAGTACACATGTGGCATTATTGTGCCATCATTACTCCTCTCATTTTGCTTTTCAACAATTTGTCATTTTACTGCCTGCATTGTCACACACACACACAAAGACACACAAAAGCATATGGTTGTATGTGATCTGTGTAGGTCCTCATGATTGAAGTTAGAAGCGTAAAACTAAATTTTATTTTATTTTAATTTTTTTAAATGTTCATATAATGTTGCTAAATTACAAGAGACAATAAAAAAAATAGCCATTTCAAAATGTACACTATTTTAAATAGAAAACATTAGTTGGAAAATCTTTAAAAATGTTTAAGTATTATTATAATAATGTCAAAATGTAAAAAAAAAAAACTGCAGATGCCCTTATAGGAGTTTTTTTTTTTAATGAAACATATTTTTGATTTTTTTGTTCTATTATGACTACACGCTTTGATGCAGTCTTTGGGAGGGATTTTTCTGTGACTTACAAACACAAAAGAGCAATTGCTTGTAAAGTGAAAAGAAACGTATATATGTGACTCAGGCCTAAAAAATTAAGAGTGCTTAAGAATGCAATTGGACTTTGTCTAATGAGGAGATTATTTTTATGTTTTTGCCAATAAAAATCAGGATAGTGTATTGTATGTATTCAGCTTTCTTAAGGCAATGATTTGCAGAAATAGATAAAGCTCCAATGATAACTGCAAGGTATTTTTCTCTCATTTTGCATAGCTAAAGACTTAAGTTTTGTTTTTTTCCTATTCTTCTATCCAAATTTGCTGAAGTCCAGACAACTTAGAAAAGGACAGAACATTTTCAAGTTTTGTCCCAGGTTATTTAAAGTAAACATTATAAATTGAATGAATATATAAATTATATGAAATAAAGGCTGGACTTTGATATTCAAAATTATATGCTATTTTGTGGTGGTTTATTTATGCGACTGTAAACTGTATAAATTATCAGAAAATGTAAAAACTACTGCTAAAACAAAAAAGGAGAATAGCAAACGCAGACCTAAGATGCTTTCACATCAAAAGCGAGTTGTGGAGTTCTGCAAGCAAAGTTAATTATTTGGGTTTTATTCCTATGCAGATGGTGGCTTTGGAGGGCTTCAATACCAACAAGGCAAATGGCAAGTTTTTGGTGAACACAAAAAAGCAACAGGGCTGCTACATGTTTAAGTACACAAAGCATACACAAAGAGAAATAAAGAGAGAAAGAAAAACAAGAAGCTAAAATTGTGTTTATCTAGTGTAATGCAAAAAACAATAAGGGGACAAGCTTTTTCCAATCAAAATAGAAAATAATGTTGACAAAGGATACAAAAAGAATTGGTGTTAAGATTGTTGGCTTAAAAAAAAACTGTATTAATTTAGCCCAAGAAGTACTGTTTGTTGTCCTCCAATAGCTCAATCACAGACACAGCTAATCTCACCCATCGCGGGCAGTCTTCCCCCCTTTTTCCTCCAGGCTCGAGGTCCTGGGAGCTTGAGGGTTTTGTGCAGAATGTTTGCTGTTCCTAAAACTGCACTCTTCTGGATCAAGATGTCTGATGTATTTCCAGGGATCTGCTGTAACCACTCTTCAAGTTTGGGGGTCACTGCCCCGAGTGCCCCAATGACCATGGGTACCACTGATGCCTTGACCTTCCAGGTTTTCTCAAGTTCTTCTCTGAGCCCTTGGTTTATCTCTAGTTTCTCGTGTTGCTTTTTACTGATGTTGCAGTCACTTGGTATTTCTATGTCAACCATAATGGCTTTCATTTGCTTTTTGTCCACCACCACAAGGTTGGTTTTCCATTACCATTCGGTCCTTCTGTATCTGGAAGAATCTTGGCTTGGTCATTTTCTACCGTCTTTGGGGGTGTTTCACACTTTGACCTTGTGGCTTTCAGCCCATACTCTGCACATATGTTCCTGTATACTATTCCAGCCACTCGGTTATGGCACTCCCTCCTTGTAAGATTTCCCTGCCAGCATCTTACACCCTGCAGTTATGTGCAGGATTGTCTCAGTCTGCACTTGGGGCCTTGTCTGTTGTGGTAGATCTGGGCCTCTATTGCTCTGGTGCTTAGGGCCTGCTCCTGTACATCTATGATGAGTGCCTTTGTGCTGTCCTTTAGTCCGGCTTTGTCTAGCCATTGATAGGATTTCCTGATATTTGCCACTTTGATTATGTTTTGGTGGCACAGGGTTATAGGACAGGGTATTAAATAGCGATAGCAAATTAGTTATTGCACAATTTATTGCAGTTATAGTCCTGCATTGTAAAGTCTGATAGCAGCAGGGATGAATGACCTGCCTTAGCGCTGCTTTTTTTACAAACAGAGTGTATAAGTCTTTCCCTAAAGGAGCAGCTCAGCTCATCCACAGTTTGTTGCAGGTGGTGAGAGGTGTTGTCCATGATGGGTGTAAGCTTGGACAACACCCTACTCTCAGCCACTTCCTCTACCAAGTTCAGAGTGCAACCCAGAACACACGTGGCCTTTCTCACCAGTTTTTTCAGTCTCTTTCAATCCCGCTCTGTACTGCCAAGGGCCCAAGAGATGACAGCCTGATATCACCACAGAGTCTTAGAGGGTTTTAATCAGGGGCCTCAGCCTCCTCAGGAGGTGGAGGCAGCTCTGGCCCTTATTGTTCAGGGCGTTTGTGTTATGAGTCAAGTCCAGTTTATTATTGACGTGAACCCCTAGGTATTTGAAACTCTCCACATTTCTATGTCCTGCCCCTGGATATTCATGGGGAAATGAGGTGAGGGTCTTCTCCTGAAGTCGATCACCATATCCTTGGTCTTACTGCTGTTGAGACACAGGTGGTTCTTCTCACAACAGTCCACAAAGTTCATAATGACTGACTAGTACTCCAGCTCGTTTCCCTCCAAAACACAGCACACAATGGCTGAGACATCAGAGAACTTATGGAGATTGCAGCTATCCGTGTTGTAAGTGAAGTCTAAGGTGTTTAGGGTGAAGACTATACATGGAGTCAGAGTGTTGCCCTGGGGGGCCCCAGTACTGCAGAATGCCACCTAAGACTGACAGCCGTGTAGCCTCACACGTTGAGGGCGGTCGATGAGGTAGTTGATGATCCAGGCAGCAAGATGTTTGTCCACTCCATCGTTTTTCAGCTTCCTCGTTAGCAGCACCGGTCTGATGGTGTTGAAAGCGCTGGAAAGTCAAAGAACATGACTCTCACAACCTTCTCGTTGGTCTCCAGGTGGCTGAGCGCCACCAATGGCTTCTTCGACTGCGATGTTGGGCCGGTAAGCAAACTGCAGCGGGATGGGGGTGTGGCTCACCAAGGTGCATAGGTCTGCTAGGATGAGGCGTTCCATGATCTTCATCAGGTGGGAGGTCAGATTGACTTGTCTAAAGTGGGCTGGTTGCTTGGCGTGCAGCATTTTGGGAACCAACCATGTAACACTGTCCTCTTCAAACTCCTGCTGTCAGCCTCCAGAGCTAGACCCAGCCAGCCATTGCTGAGGTCTAAAGTCTCTCTTGTTTTGTTGACATTCACAATCAGATGATTGTTTCTGTAGGGGGATTGGTGGTTGCTTGCTTGCTGCAGGGAACCAACAGAAGTCTCTATAGCAGGGGTGCCCAACCAGTCGATCACGATCTACCAGTCGATCGCGGGCGGAGTTTCAGTCGATTGTGAGAAGTTTTACAATGTAGACCTATTTATGGCTATGACAAAAAAAAAAAAAAAAAAAAAAAAAAAACGTTTTAAAAAACACTAATCAAATCATTGATCACTAGAGGCCAACGTCTGTTTTCATAATAATAAAATGAAAAGTAAAAAGTATGCATGGTTTTCCAGGGTTGCTAGGTTGTTACCAGGGACTCTAAAGCGCGAAGAGGAATCTGAAGCGATAATGAGATAATGACATCTATCACAACTAATGGGGCTCCATCTATGGTTGGGCGCACTGCTGGATTCGTTGCTCTGTTCAAGCTGTCTGAAACTTTCCCGGATTTTTTTGGATCAACCACTGCACCATTCAGCAACAGCTGTGCAGCAATATTTTAAATATGAAGCATGTCATGGACGTTGCGATGAAGATCGCTTGCTCTGTTCGGGCCAGGAGTATTCAGAGGCGTTTATTCCGTGCCCAGATCGATCACAGATCTGCTGCTGCACGCCGACGTCAGGTGGCTGAGCCGTGGCAGATTCCTCAAAAGATTTTTGGAACTATGTTGTTCTTCGATTCTATATAGAACAAACGAGGTGTGTAAATTTGTTCTGTATATTTATTTCCAAACTTCCACAGAACCTTTCAGTAGCAAACTACATTCAGAACTGCCCTCTCGCTCTAGCCTCCAACCCGTGACACCACGCGCCCCATTGCATGCTGGGTATTGGAGTTCAAGAGCTTTCCGGCTCATAACATCACAGGAACTTTTGCCCGAAGTTAAAGAAATTGTCAACAACCCGTTCTGTTGTATGTTACATCTTCACATCCAGATAGTTTGTACTTAGTATTTTCCTATTTTTAACTGTTTTCCTGTTGAATCTTAATCCATATGCCAGTTTCTCTGCCAATGTCAATGGCCAGTGAAGTTTATCATTCTGAAATAGTGGACTTCCCTTCTCCTTCTTCCTGCTTTGAAATGATTTCAGACTTAGACAGATTTTTTGTCATTTTGTTTACACAAGTGTAAAACAAAAAGCAAATTTAGTTTGGAACAGCTCTCTGACACACACACACACACATATATATATATACACTCACCGGCCACTTTATTAGGTACCCCATGCTAGTAACGGGTTGGACCCCCTTTTGCCTTCAGAACTGCCTCAATTCTTTGTGGCATAGATTCAACAAGGTGCTGGAAGCGTTCCTCAGGGAGTTTGGTCCATATTGACATGATGGCATCACACAGTTGCCGCAGATTTGTCGGCTGCACATCCATGATGCGAATCTCCCGTTCCACCACATCCCAAAGATGCTCTATTGGATTGAGATCTGGTGACTGTGGAGGCCATTTGAGTACAGTGAACTCATTTTCATGTTCAAGAAACCAGTCTGAGATGATTCCAGCTTTATGACATGGCGCATTATCCTGCTGAAAGTAGCCATTAGAAGTTGGGTACATTGTGGTCATAAAGGGATGGACATGGTCAGCAACAATACTCAGGTAGGCTGTGGCGTTGCAACGATGCTCAATTGGTACCAAGGGGCCCAAAGAGTGCCAAGATAATATTCCCCACACCATGACACCACCACCACCAGCCTGAACCGTTAATACAAGGCAGGATGGATCCATGCTTTCATGTTGTAGACGCCAAATTCTGACCCTACCATCCGAATGTCGCAGCAGAAATCAAGACTCATCAGACCAGGCAACGTTTTTCCAATCTTCTATTGTCCAATTTCGATGAGCTTGTGCAAATTGTAGCCTCAGTTTCCTGTTCTTAGCTGAAAGGAGTGGCACCCGGTGTGGTCTTCTGCTGCTGTAGCCCATCTGCCTCAAAGTTCGACGTACTGTGCGTTCAGAGATGCTCTTCTGCCCACCTTGGTTGTAACGGGTGTTTATTTGAGTCACTGTTGCCCTTCTATCAGCTCGAACCAGTCTGGCCATTCTCCTCTGACCTCTGGCATCAACAAGGCATTTCCGCCCACAGAACTGCCGCTCACTGGATGTTTTTTCTTTTTCGGACCATTCTCTGTAAACCCTAGAGATGGTTGTGCGTGAAAATCCCAGTAGATCAGCAGTTTCTGAAATACTCAGACCAGCCCTTCTGGCACCAACAATCATGCCACGTTCAAAGTCACTCAAATCACCTTTCTTCCCCATACTGATGCTCGGTTTGAACTGCAGGAGATTGTCTTGACCATGTCTACATGCCTAAATGCACTGAGTTCCCGCCATGTGATTGGCTGCTTAGAAATTAAGTGTTAATGAGCAGTTGGACAGGTGTACCTAATAAAGTGGCCGGTGAGTGTATATATATATATATATATATATATATATACATACACAGTGTTGGGCACGTTACTTTGAAAAAGTAATTAGTTATAGTTACTAGTTACTTCTCCCAAAAAGTAACTGAGTTACTAACTGAGTTACTCCACAATAAAAGTAACTAGTTACTAGTAAAAGTAACTATTGCGTTACTTTTGCGTTTCTCGCCCCCGTAAACCTCACCACCCAGCCCCCACCTTCTCGCCGTGTGTTTCCAAAGCCAGCTGAATAGAGTGGACGACAAAGACAAGAACCTGCAGAGAGTTTTGCATTTCTTGTAACTCAATGTAAATTACATCAGGGGGGAACACGATGTGAAGTTTTTTAACAGGGCATTCAGATCTGGTGAGTATATGAAATTAATAACTGGGGATGTCTAATTCTGAAATCCTGTGTGTTTGGGTTGTTATAGATACTGCAACATCTATCTATCTATCTATCTATCTATCTATCTATCTATCTATCTATCTAGATGTATACTCTGTGTGTGACAAAATATGGATCTCCATCCCTGCCACAAAGGCCATCAAATAATGTTTAAAATAAAAAATACAGTAGGTTGAAAAGTCAGAGTATCTATCCATCCATCCATCCATCCATCCATCCATCCATCCATCCATCCATCCATCCATCCAGATTTCTCCCTCTCATTTGATCGTTCACGCTCTCCATAGTTCTCCTGTGGCGCGAGCACAGGGCGACTGTGGCGCGCCTTAAGCGAGCATGCGCGTTTCCTGTCGCTTGCGCGGTGATTCTTGCCGCCTGCACTGTGCGGAGATGCAGGGGAAACCGTTATGTGATGGGGAAATGCAGCTCGACGTAACACCGGTATTTCCATGTGGAAAACGCTGTTTTGCTGCTGGAGTCATCCTCACTCTCCATCTCTCTGTGTGTGCTGTACGTTAACACCCGCCAGCAGAAACACCCACCTACCCAAATGACAGACGGAATCTCACTATACATCAGCCATTCTCATCCTCCCCTCTCTCATGACAAGGCGCGCACCTCTGGATGAACTAAAAAATAATCTTTAATATCTCTTAAACAAAAGTAGCACAAACAATATTTTTTTCTGCACAAATCTGCACTAACGTTGCACTAACCATTCAGTCTATTTGCAGAGTTTTTTGACGTGGGTGGGGTGTCAGCTTCACGCAGCTGCGCACGAGTCCTATCATGAAAAAAGGTTCATTGTGCGACCTGAGTAACGCGCAGTAACGGGGTGTATGCAATGGTAACTGCGTTATAGTTAAAGTCAAAGTAATTAGTTAGATTACTCGTTACTAAAACAAGGTAACGGCGTTAGTAACGCCGTTACTTTCAACGCCGTTAGTCCCATCACTGTATATACATATATATATATTATTCTCCACCTGTGCAAACAAAAAAACAAATACTGGCCATCCCTTGTGTTTGGCTTGGTAGATCTCGGCATGCCATCAACTTCAAAAGTAGATCTTGTCATGATTGGTACTCAAAGGGGACCCAATTATGCAGAACACCACTGAGGCGGAAACAGGAGTAAAGGTTTAACAGAGTTTATTTATGGACAAACACACAGAATGTACTGGTTCAGGTTCGGGGCCTGGGAAACTGGTTCACTGGAGTCTGCGTGGGAGACAGATTAGTTAGCGAAGAATCAGAGGAGCTTGACTTAGGGGGTTTCTGGTTTGTACCTTGAGGGTTCTTGAGGTTTGCTCTGGGAGAGTCACTGTTGGCTCTGGAGAGGAGTTGATCAGCAGAGTCCGCTTGCTGCTTCAGCGTCTCACGTCTAGGAATGAACAGACCTTGGCTTGGGTTCCCAGCTCTTAGTCCTGAGCTGCATGGGAGTTCTCTATGGTTCTTCAAGTTTGGCTCAGAGGGTTGGCTCGGCAGGTTA